GGAAAGAGAATAAAGGCTCTGGCTCACTCAAAGCTTGTGCAAGATCCCCATTGCACTATGGGTCTTCCAGACCCATATCACAGGGCTCATCTAGCAAACTACCACCTCTTCATAAATCTCATTCTCAGAAATCAACTAGTAAGCATACATGGCCGAAATCTCCTTCAGTTCAGAAGTATGTTTACAGGAAATCTCCGCTATTACACAGTTACTTTAAGTCTTCAAAGGGACTTGGCAGAGGCAGCATAGTAGCTCGCTCTCAAAAGCTGTGTCAGACAAAACTCACTAAAGATAAAGTTGGCAAAAGTAGCAAGGTGGATTTGAAAACTGTATTTAAAGCTGACCAGCCATCAAAAGAGAAGATTCAAGACAGTGTATTAATGAAAGGGCAGAAGCAACCTCCCCCTGGAAGTCTGGGAGAAATGTTGTTGAAAAAAACTCTGAAAGGCAAACTTAAAGTGCGTCCAGAAGCCGGGGAACCTGACACTTTGACTGACAAGGAGAGTGGAGTTAATACATCAGGAGTGAAAAGGGATATACCGATGGGAGAGCTAACTATGGATATTGCACAGGAATGCTACACTTTAGATCAGGAAGATGATGAGGAGCTCCAGCTGAGGTTAATTGCCCTTCAGTCCTCCCTCAGGGTTCTTAGTGATGTGCGAAAGGAAGGGCAGGACTTGATGTCTTCATCCTTGGTCACAAAACTCCCACAAGTAAAGAGCAATGAAGCAGAGGGGGAGAATTCACAACCTGTGGATTTTGACCAGCTGCAACAAAGTTTAGGAAAATTTTCATTGTGTAGTAACTCTGAAGGTATTTTAGAATCATCTCCAAAATCTGACATCTTGGAATATTTAAATGAAATGGGAAAAGATGATGATAGTGGTGATAGTAGTAGTGTGGAAGCCATTGAGCCCATTTTAGATGAACTTAGTCAAAGTTCGCCACAGTCGGCTGCAACCCCTGATAGTATTCGTGAAATTGCAATAGACACAAACAAAAGCTATATAGGTGATGTTGATTCAGGTAAACTAGTGCAGAATGCTGAAGAAATAAATAAAGATGTTAAGGAACTTTCAGATTGTAACCAGGATCCAATCGATATGGATATTTGTGACAGTTCCCCAGGAGAGGACGATGGTGACACACTTGAAGAGGAGGTTTTTCAGGAGATTGGAGATGATATTTCCTTAAGTAATAAGGAATCCTTGGACAAATCAGTTAAGAATATTTTGAATGATTGCTCAAACACTGTAAAAGAGAGTTCTACCTCTTCTGGTGGGCCAGAAGGCTCACAGCACAATTTCCAAATCCCAGTGGAATGGGCCTATATGATGCCACCTCCCCCACCACCTGATCAGCCAGCCAATGATCTCAGTAACATAAACAACTGGTGTTATGATCAAAATATGTATCTCCAAACCATGCAAACTCAGTATGATTCTAACCCACAGTACAACCATTATGGTTTGCAAGGAGTAACTAATGCTGAATGGGGAGTGCAGCAGTCACAAAGTCCACAATGGAACTGTTCTCCCAATGAGGATCATGAAAACAATTTGACAAATAAAGCTGTAGGTCCTCCCAAGGCTTCAACTTCTCAGGAGGGTGATGAATCTCATTCTTGCAAAGTAGAGAAGTTTGAAGAAAATGATCATATGGCTGAACCTCAAAAAGACTTGAAAGATTTGCCTGCAGAGCAATATCAGGCTTTCATGTCTGTGGTGCTAAAGCAGCAAACCTCACAGCCTAAACAAGCAGTCACAAATGATAACTCTCAGAGGACTTTGATAGAAGTTCCTCTAATAAAAGATGTTGGCAAGGGTTTGAGTCATAACTGTGAAAGAGACCAACTTTTATCAAAAATCCAGCTTAATACAAGTAAGAGGAAAAGGAGAAGGGAACGGCAGAAATATAGGATAAAACAATTAAAAAGGAAAATGCTTGCAGGTTCAAAAATCATTAGGCAGTTAGAACCTGTGATTAAGGATACAGTTGCTAATCTTAAATCAGAACCTGTACCTGAAGAGGAAGATGAAGATTTGCTGCGTGCAAAACTTCTTATTGATTTGTCTATAAAAAACCAACAAAAAACAGTAGCATCGAGAGTTAAGCAAGTGCCAGCAGCTTCTGTTGAATCTAGCCAGTATTCGTGCTACCAGAAAAAATTAGATAAACTTGCATTTGAGGCAAGGGAAGCAAGTGACAGCTCACCTGTTCCAAGTTATCCTTCATCATCGGAGTCTTCCCCAGTAGCCAGAACTCGTGTCAGTCAAGCATCACTTCATAAAAATGTCCACAAGCTTCAAGCCAGGATTAAGGAAGGTAGCCCAACACACAAATTTAGGACTGATTCAAGACAAAGTCTCTCAGATATAGGTGGCATTGGTTTAGATCCCAAAAGTAGCCAGTATGATTATGCTGTCCCTCATGATGCTAATGCTGAGAGTGAAAGTCCTAAGTTTATGTTTCCGCTAGTTAAGCCAGTTATTATCAATTTAAAGTCAGACTCGGAGGATGAAACTGAAGAAGGCAGAGTTGAGAACCAAACTAAAAGTCGAGACCCCAAGACAGTAGCTGAGCCTAAAGCCTCTAGCAGTGGAGCAATAAGCAACAGCATTGATCGATTTTTGAAAAGTATACGCAATCGTGATCAGCCTGGTGAAGAATTTAGAAGCATAAAAGAGAATGCAAGAGCATCTAGGCAAAATTCAGCGGGCATTTCATCGAGATGTAAAACAGCAGCCAAAGATTCTACCCCTAATGTAAGTTAATGATTTTGTATTTCCGAAAAAGGTGGTGATACCTAAGTATTGTCAGAAATCATACATAGTTCTTTTGTATAAGCCTATACAAGAAAAGAATGCATAAAGGTTAGATAAAAGTGAGCATAGAAAACCATAGGGGTGATAGAAAAAATAGGCAGTAAAAAGTTTGATGTCAGATGGGTGGGAGGAAATATGGATATTAAAGATTTGAGTGTGGATGTGTCAACAGATGAGTGCATAAAAGTTGATGTGACATACAGGATATGCAAGGAATGGGGAGAAGGGGATTTGGATGGGGTGTTCAGGATTCTGTGGAAAGGAAGAAATGTACCACAGTATATTGGTACCAACACTTTTGTATCAATATGAGGCATGATCTTAGACTTGCAGTGAGGAGGTTGATGGCAGTGGAGATTTATTCAAGATTGTGTGCTGTGAATATCAGGTATTGGGGAGTGAAATATCTAAGATGGTGTGGGAGTATAAAATGTACAAGTCAGAGAGTGTAAGTGGGGTTTTCAAACTGGTTCACTTATTTAGACAGGGTAGAGCAAAATACCTTGACCAAGAGGATTTGTAAATATGGGGTGAATGTTCTAGGATGACTCGAAATTATAGCTCCACGATTGCAAACAAACCACAGTATGGGTGGGGATTGAACTGGGCCAGCTGGCTACAAGATTCGCCCAACTAGTATATAAATATACCTAGTTGAGTGAATCTTATTGTAGCCAGCTGGCCCAGTGGCTAATGTGTTGGTCTGGAATTTTACAACTCACTTACTGCAAGTTCAATCCCTGCTAGTACTGTGGTTCTGGGATGGTGTATGTAAAGGCAATTTCAAGTGATAGCCCCTTCAGGGGTAGCTAGTGAAAGGCTTTTGAGCCAAGTAGTTAGAGCTACCCTTCTCTTTGGATTGAATTCGTTTACCTCCAGTTCTCCAGGCCCTGTATGACCACTACAGGTTTAGCACTTCCCCCAGTAATATAATGCTGTAATTTGTTTGTTTTTTGTGCTTGTGTCTCTGAACAAGGTGCCATCTATGAAGGTATTAAGGGAAACCAGTTAGATTTGAGTACCGGAGATGGTATGTACAGTGTCAGGACTCTTTCACTAGTAAATCCTCCATTCTATCAGTTGATACCAAGAAACAGCCAATAAAATCTTGAAATCTATTTCAGTTGCTATTTTAAGCCAAACATAAGATCAGTTTGCTTTTTTTATTATGTTGATGAAGAAAGGGAGGTGGTAATTTCATGCATTGGCCAGGATGGTATACCATCTTTTAGGAGCGAAGAAGAACAGGATGTGAGTGTGGGGGAGGTGCGTGAGGCATTACATAGAATGAAAGGGGGTAAAGCAGCTGGAACTGACGGGATCATGACAGAAGTGTTAAAAGCCGGGGGGCATATAGTGTTGAAGTGGTTGGTATTTTTGTTTAATAAATGTATGAAAGAGGGGAAGGTACCTAGAGATTGGCAGAGAGCATGTATAGTCCCTGTATATAAAGGGAAGAGGGACAAAAGAGATTGTAAACATTATAGAGGAATAAGTTTACTGAGTATACAAGGAAAAGTGTACGGTAGGGTCATAATTGAAAGAATTAGAGGTAAGACAGAATGTAGGATTGTGGATGAGCAAGGAGGTTTTAGAGTGGCTAGGGGATGTGTAGATCAAGTGTTTACATTGAAGCATATATATGAACAGTATTTAGATAAAGGTAAGGAAGTTTTTATTGCATTTATGGATTTAGAAAATACATATGATAGAGTGGATAGGGGAGCAATGTGGCAGATGTTGCAAGTATATGGAATAGGTGGTAAGTTACTAAATGCTGTAAAGAGTTTTTATGAGGATAGTGAGGTTCAGGTTAGGGTGTGTAGAAGAGAGGGAGACTACTTCCCAGTAAAAGTAGGTCTTAGGGATGTGTAATGTCACCATGGTTGTTCAATATATTTACAGATGGGTTATAAAAGAAGTAAATGCTAGGGTGTTCGGGAGAGGGGTGGGATTAAATTATGGGGAATCAAATACAAAATGGGAATTGACACAGTTGCTTTTTGCTGATGATACTGTGCTTATGGGAGATTCTAAAGAAAAATTGCAAAGGTTAGTGGATGAGTTTGAGAATGTGTGTAAAGGTAGAAAGTTGAAAGTGAACATAGAAAAGAGTAAGGTGATGAGGGTATCAAATGATTTAGATAAAAAAAAAATTGGATATCAAATTGGGGAGGAGGAGTATGGAAGAAGTGAATGTTTTCAGATACTTGGGAGTTGACGTGTCAGCGGATGGATTTATGAAGGATGAGGTTAATCATAGAATTGATGAGGGAAAAAAGGTGAGTGGTGTGTTGAGGTATATTTGGAGACAAAAAATGTTATCTATGGAGGCAAAGAAGGGAATGTATGAAAGTATAGTAGTACCAACACTCTTATATGGGTGTGAAGCTTGGTTGTGAATGCAGCATCGAGGAGGCGGTTAGAGGCAGTGGAGATGTCCTGTCTAAGGGCAATGTGTGGTGTAAATATTATGCAGAAAATTCAGAGTGTGGAAATTAGGAGAAGGTGTGGAATTAATATAAGTATTAGTCAGAGGGCTGAAGAGGGGATGTTGAGGTGGTTTGGTCATTTAGAGAGAATGGATCAAAGTAGAATGACATGGAGAGCATTTAAGTCCGTACGGAAAGGAAGGTGGGATAGGGGTCGTCCTCGAAAAGGTTGGAAGGAAGGGGTAAGGGAGGTTTTGTGGGCGAGGGGCTTGGCCTTCCAGCAGGCGTGCGTGAGCGTGTTTGATAGGAGTGAATGGAGACGAATGGTATTTGGGACCTGACGATCTGTTGGAGTGTGAGCAACGTAATATTTAGTGAAGGGATTCTAAACTGTTGTGTTCTGAGCACCTCTGCAAATACAGTGATTGTGTGAGTGAGGTGAAAGTGTTGAATGATGATGAAAGTATTTTCTTTTTGGGGATTTTCTTTCTTTTTGGGTCACCCTGCCTCGGTAAGAGACGGCTGACTTGTTAAAAAAAAAAAATATACTGTACACTCTCGTTCCCTCATGTCTGTGCCAAAATTTACTGTAGCATATTTAAGGGCATTGTGCTTAAAACGTAAATTTACATGAGCAACAGTGGCATCATTGTAGATCTACTTGGGGTGCAGAGAAACAGTTAAATACTAACTAAATTTTGGGTGACTTTATGGGAAGGTAAACTTATAAAACCTGATACAGTAGTATTGATTTGTTTTTGTAGCTTACCTTGTTCTGCAGGTTGTTCGGCACCTGAGTCGTACCCAGCAAATGGAATATCGTTTGCTGAAGGAGAAGCTGAGAGAAAAAGAGCTGCTACACCTCAAAAAGCAGTTGCAGCAGAGGCGACCAACCATTCCAACAAAGAAAAACAGGATTAGTTTTGCCGACAGTCCTGAGTCTCCTGATTGGGAAAACAAATCCAGTTTCAGGGTTGTCAGTGCTGATCATAGTGATAAATGTCATATAGCTAGCCATTTGGGACCAGAGAGAGAGAGCATTCATGACTGTCCTGAGGCAGAGTTAAAAAGTGGTAATTTAGGAATGTCCAATTCTCGAGAAGTATGCTTCAAGGAAATGGGAAGATTGCAAATTCAACTAGCAAATATTAGCTCTTATGAGGATCAAAGTAATGTTACCAGTAGTGAAGAAGCAGGTGAAAGTGGGAGAGATGAACCTCAAGCTGTAATTGATACAGTTGCTGGAGAGTCCTCTCAAGAAGTATCAGGAGCTGAGGAAGATGAGGAGACTTTAAGGATGATGGTATTCCAGACCCTGCAAAAGAAAGCATCAGACAGAAAAGAACAAAATCAAGGAAGGATGACAACTTTGGAATTCCCCCAGAATGAAGCTACAGCTTCAGAAGATAAAAAGTCTGCTACCACACTTAGAGTAGTTATACATCAAAAGGTTGATGATACAATGAAAAAGGAATATGCAAGCCAGGACAATGTACGAAAAGTGATTATACAACAAAGTGAGACAGAGAGCCATAAAGATCACCAGGATGTAGATATGGGGGGAGAATGGATGGTATTGGATGAAGTGCTTGGTGAAGGAATTGAAGGGAATGGTGGAAATCATACTAGTGATGGGGAGGAGGGTAAACTGTGTGATGAATTTGGCAATGAAGTAGCAAAGGAGGAAATTGAGAGAGAGTGCAGGAGTTTGGTTGTGACAAACAGTATTCAGACCATTAATAATGCTAGTGGTATGTCAGATATAAGCAGTAGGTTGAGGGATGATGGTATAAATGTGGATGAAATGAAAGAAAGAGTTAGCATGAGCAGTTCCAAGATAGCAGTTGCGGAGAGTAAGTGCAATGTGAAAATTGATAATTTGAATAAAGCATCACACGAAATGCTCGATAAATTTGAAAACCGGGCTGGTAATGAAAATACTAGCCAGAGGCTTGATTTGGATAAGACACAAAGCTGTAAAAGTGTTAGCGAATTGAAACAAGAAAACGTGGAAACAAATGTTGATTGTGTAGATGGGCAGAAAGTTAGGAAAGTCGTATCTTGCAGTAGTGATGGAATTGAAGTAAGGACTGACGTTGGAACAAGAAATAGTGACATATCAGAAAGCGAAAATAGCAGAGCCACTCAGAGAGAGCCCGATTTAAAGATAAATAAAGATGGCGGGAATTTATGTGGAAGTGAAGGAGGATCAACATTAAGAGATCAGTCACTCACCAGTGATATAATATCCTCTAGTGCCGAACTGATTGGCTCACTGTTTGAGTGTGATCGTGAAGAGAAAAAGCCTGGCACAGGTATCTGTGCTGAATTGAAAGAGGGTGAATCTATTAGAAATAAGGACAGAGCGTCGTGTCTAAAAAATAATCAGTGTCTTGATTCATCTATAAAAACACAGGAGGTGCTTTCAGAAACCCTTAAGCTAGAACCAGAAAAGGTTACTGGATATACTGAAGAGTCAAAAATAAGGCATAATGTAGCAGAAACTGTAGACTTCTGTTCAGACATAAGCCCAAAAGTATCAGAAGTAAAAAAACATGAGTATGACTCAAACTCAAAGAAATTCCCATCTAAACTTACGACAGTGGAACACAGCTTGAAGAGTGAAACTCAAGGCATTAGCTCCAAAAATTCAGAAACAAGCACTGAGGTTAGAACTCGAGTAAAGCAGTTGACTAGTCTTGTAGAAACTGTCAAGCATCCAGCAAACAAAGACAGTTCTGCAATTTTAGGAAAGTGTGAAAGTAGCAGTGCTAAAGTTCAAGAAGGGCCAGGAGCCTCTAGAAAAGGAAAGGCTAAAGATAATCAAGAGAAGCCAGTAAATTCCAAGAAGATGATGCTTTTAAAAAGAATAGAACAAGAATACACTGAGAAAAGGTAAGAGTAACTACCAACAGTTTCTAAGTGTGTAAAGTGGTCACCTTGTATTTTATTAGTCTAACACTGAAATAACATTTTGCATTTATATCCTATCCATTCAGGGGGAGAGCCTTGATATTTTTGAAGGACTTTTGATTTGAGGATTTGGAGCTATTGCTTTCTTACTCAGATCAAACCTTTCTACTATCTCTGGGTGGTGTATGACCCTTAGGGAATTCAGTGTTTTCCCATAAACATGATCTTTTGCATCTCTCTCTGCCATTCTTTCTCTATTTTTCTCCTCACTTATCCCCTCTCCTTTCCTCATTCCCTTTCTTCTTCTCCTTCCCTAAGCCTCTGCTCCCCCCCTCCTTTTATTGTTTTTCACCAGCCTCCTTTTCTCATTCCTTTATTCATTTATCACAATATATATTACATTTTGTTGTTTTACATGATGGTAGGGTTGCTGGTGTCCTTTTTTCTGTCTCGTAAGCAAGCAAGATTTCAGCTACGTCTTGCTACTTCTACTACGCTTAGGTTACACTACACATACAAGCATATATATACACACACCCATCTGGGTTTTCTTCTATTTTCTTTCTTGTTGTTTATTTCCTCTTATCTCCATGGGGAAGTGAAACAGAATTCTTCCTCCATAAACCGTGCGTGTTGTGAGAGGCGACTAAAATGCTGGGAACAAGAGGCTAGTAACCCCTTCTGTATAAATTACTAAATTTAAAGAGAAACTTTCATTTTTCTTCTTGGGCCACCCTTCCTCGGTGGGATACAGCCAGTTTGTTGAAAGATGATGTTACATTCTGGTTTAGTTCTTGATTTACATAATTAACCCTTTGAGGCTCCGTGCCATAGATCTACAGCTATACGTTGAGGGTCCAAACCTTAGATCTACGCCATGAGCTCAGCTCACTCTGATAAGCTGTGAGTGGTAAATTTGGGCCTAGATATGAGAGAGTATATCTATGTGGTATGTGTGCACCACATAAAACAAATCCTGCAGCACACAGTGCATAATGAGAGAAAAAACCGAGACCGTAATTTTCGATTAAAACAGTGACTTTGCAGTATTTTCTCGTATGTTTTTTATAGTTGTATTTGCGATTTCTTGGTCTCACTTGGAAGATATATTACAGAAATAGAGATGATTTTGATTGGTTTTAGTAATGGAAATGGGTTGAAACTGAGCTCAAAATAGCAGAAATGTTAAACTTTTGCCGATGTTCAAGAGTAAACAAATGATCCCACACATCTAATACGTGCCAGCTGGTGGGTCTAATATACGTTCACAAATGTGGTGATATTATTTACACAATTATTATGGTATTGCATAACAGTAAATCTTCTGTTTTTTGGTTTGAATAAAAATTCATTATGTGAATAAAAAATCAAAATGGAATTCATTTGTAAAGCCTGATAACATAACTAATGAACAGAGGAAATGTTAGGTTAGTTCCAGGAATGCCTGCATTGTTTATTCTGGACCCTATTTTGAAATTAGAATATTTTGAACTTTGCATTAAATTGGCCAAATTACCAATTTCCGATCACTTTATTTTGTAGTTGAAACAGTTGACTTGGCGATTTCTTGTGCTCAATCGATAAAATAGAAGTAATACTAATGAAATAGCTAAGAATTTGGTTGACTGGAGTATTATAATTGGCCTAAAATGGGAGTCAGTCAGCAAAATCGCCGATGCGTAAATTTCGCTGACACATCAAAATTTGTGAGAGCATAATTTCATCAGTTTTCCATCAAATTTCGTACTTTTTGTTTTATTACCTTCAGAAAAAGATTCTCTACCATTTCATAAGAAAAAATAACAAAATTATTTTTTGAAAATTCTTGGACACTGGTGTGCACTTTGAAATTTGGCCTTTGGACCCTGAAAGGGTTAATGTCTTGTTTTTTCCTTTTGCATGTTGCATCCTTTTTTTTTTTTTTCTTCAACAAGTCGGCCGTCTCCCACCGAGACAGAGTGACCCAGAAAAGAAAGAAAATCCCCAAAAAGAAAATACTTTCATCATCATTCAACACTCACCGCACTCGCACATTATCACTGTTTTTGCAGAGGTGCTCAGAATACACAGTTTAGAAGCATACACATATAAAGATACACAACATATCCCTCCAAACTGCCAATATCCCAAACCCCTCCTTTAAAGTGCAGGCATTGTACTTCCCATTTCCAGGACTCGAGTCCGACTGTATGAAAATAACCGGTTTCCCTGAATCCCTTCACTAAGTATTACCCTGCTCACACTCCAACAGATCGTCAGGTCCCAAGTACCATTCGTCTCCATTCACTCCTATCTAACACGCTCACGCATGCTTGCTGGAAGTCCAAGCCCCTTGCCCACAAAACCTCCTTTACCCCCTCTCTCCAACCCTTTCGAGGACGACCCCTACCTCGCCTTCCTTCCCCTATAGATTTATATGCTTTCCATGTCATTCTACTTTGATCCATTCTCTCTAAATGACCAAACCACCTCAACAACCCCTCTTCTGCCCTCTGACTAATACTTTTATTAACTCCACACCTTTTCCTAATTTCCACACTCCGAATTTTCTGCATAATATTTACACCACACATTGCCCTTAAACAGAACATCTCCACTTCCTCCAACCGTCTCCTCGCTGCTGCATTTACCACCCAAGCTTCACACCCATATAAGAGTGTTGGTACTACTATACTTTCATACATTCCCTTCTTTGCCTCCATAGATAACGATTTTGGCTCCACATACATGTATACCTCAACACACCACTCGCCTTTTTTTTTGTATCCTATTATGTTTTATAATTTTCCAATTTCACCTATTTAAAAATATTAGTGCTAGCTATTTTGAGAAATAGTTGACATGGTAAAAACATGACTACGGTTACCACTTGCAGGCTTGGCTTTACAAAGGTGATATCAGTGTTGGCTTCTCTTGTACAAGAAGCAAGAGAGGAGGAATTGCAGAGGCAGTCTCTGAAGAAGAATGTGCTTCAGCTGCGTGCACAGTTAAAGCAGATGGAAGGGCAGCTGGAGGCAAGATTGAATTTTGTTCATGGCTAGACATTTTCTTTAATGTAGATATGTGCTGTTAAATTAAATAAGTGATATAACAATAAAACTATCTCCAGTTCTACTACACTTCATAGGGTATATTTTAAAAATGCACTTTGGTTTTTGTCAATGGCAGCAGCTATTTTTATCCAAACTGGACAGTATTTAAAGATTTTACGGTGTGAGAGTATAGATAAAATCAACTTAAGGAGTACAACATAACCATTTTTATGCTGCCTAGCAGTATTTCCTCTGAAGTTTCAATAAAATAACATGTATTTGACAGTGTTTGCTTGGGCAATGGCAAAACAATGAGAGCAGTCTACATCGTAGCATCAGTTTTCTTCAAGGGAGTGCCCAGATGTTTGCGATTGGTTTTTAATGCAAGGGACTGAGTTACCTACCATTCCTCATATCAAACCTGAGTACTTCCCATTTCTTTGCTGTATTACTCCTACAAGTTTAGTACTATTTCATGAATTTAATAATAATGTGGCATCACTGGCTAGAGTGTATATTAGTACATGACTTCTCTAAGGTTGGGTTCTAATCCCTTACTCTCATTGAAGAAAACAAAATAGGACCACTGCAGATATGGGGAAAGTGAAATAAAGTGGGTAAGTGATGGTTGGGAACCCTGGCGCATAAAAATAATTGATGGAACAATGATCAAGGGCTGAGGTGTAACAGCTTGAAGGAAAGATTTTAAATCTGAAAATTTGTGGAACATTTAAAGGAACTTTAAGAATGGGAATAATGAACTAGCACTTAGGGGTAAAATACATGAACAAATAGAGAAAGTGCCTATGAATAGCAATGAATGTTTTTCATTGGTGCTGTTCAGGATGACAGTGGAATGAAATGTAATCCAGGAAATGGCAGTTTGAGCCATTTAGACAAATTCAGAAGGATAATATGATTATACTGAGGACACAGGAACAAAAACAAGCACAATGGGAAAAGAAATAAAATTAGTGGACAAGGTAATTCTATACATTCTGAGGATGGTAATAATAATAGTTATCTTGGTGTATTATAGTAACTGGAGGTACAGAGACTAGATAAGTCCAAAATGAAACAGCTTAAAGTAGTTTTTTCCAATCTGAAAATTACAGACCATTTCAAAAAAAGCAAAATGTAAAATTAATGAATTTTGACAAAAAAAAGAGAATTAATCAAGGCATAGTGTATATTCGTAGTACAGTATGTTAAAATTTATGCTTAAGAGAAGATTTAAGGACAGTTGGTACTGTCTTTTCAGATTAAAATGCCACTAAAAAAGAAGTTTCAAACTCCCCTTTAGATTAGTGAGCACTTTATATACATCACTTCAAATTGGTCCAGTTGCTTGTACAAATTGTAAGCCACTTATTCTTCCAATTCTTTTCTGATGCTAGGGTCAAAATTTGTCACTTGTTCATTTTTTCTTACATATTTCTTTATCTCTAATGCTTCTCCCTTACCTTTTCATTTGTACATTCATACTCGTTGAATTCCTCGGTTTGTCGCTTTAAGTTATGTAGCTTTTGTTTTACTTTTAGCATAGCTGAACCATTGTTTAGAATTTGACAAACATTTTCAGGCAGTTTTTGAAAATTTTAATGTGTGAAGTCAGATATCTGTTGCCGAGGACATCTGAAGGTTTGCTTATGTTTATTAAATTTAAACTAATGTCCAGTAGATAGTTTATTAGCTAACACCACCTAACCATTTCTTGTCTGGTGCATACTGTAAGACTAGATTACCAATTTACAGACCAAATCCAGTGCGGTCAAGACCAAGATGGAAAGTATACGAGAACTACAAACGCAAATAACAAAAGATCGGCTGTTGATAAATGAACTTGAACAGAAGGGAAAGCTTCTGGGCCAACAGGTAATTCTTTTTATTTTATCTTGTGTTTTTCCATTTCCAGAGAAAATTGCAATAATAAGTTGACTTAGTTGACTTTATTCAGAATACTGTACATTTGAACCCTCTTACATTCCCAGTGGTCCTGCAAATAATTTTAACCCTTTCACTGTTGGTGCCATAGTACTGCGGCTTACAAGCCAGTGTTGGTGCTGTAGTACTATGCCAAAATTCTAGCGGCTTCAAATCTAGCAGGAGAAAGCTGGTAGGCTTACATGTGAATGGGTCTGCATGGTCAGTGTGTGCAGTACAAAAGAAATTGGAGCCAGTGGTGCATTGTGGGAATGCCATTTCAGTAGTCCTTGTTCAGCATGCCTAGCAGTAAGAAATATCTGACTCCCTGGAGAATTTGGGCCTCTTTTCTTCCCAAGTGATAGTTCTGACACAGATGGAAGTGTAAGTGAAGATGAATTTCATGGTTTTGAGGAGTTTGTGACTGAAAGCAATGCCCAGGATACCAGATACAGATAGTGAAAAGGGAAGGCAGCTTGGGTGGTGGGGAGTTCAGCGTGGGTGTGGGGAGGACATCACAAGTGGTGGGGAAGGCAGTGGGGATGGTGTGGCTGGGGAAGACAGCATGGGTGGTTGGGAAGACGGCATGTAAGTAAGTTTATTCAGGTATACACGAATACGTACAGTTATGTAGATTATCATATAGAGCAGCATGTGTAGAGAATCTAGGATAACCCAAAAAAAAATTAAGTGACTTATTTCCAGCATGGGTTGCGGGTAAGACAAAGTGGGTTTGTGTAAACAAAGTTTTGTAAACAATATAACGATAACAATGTTTGTGAGGTTATTGTGTTGCATGCAACAGGTGGATATATATACATTATGCATTATATTGGTCTCACAGGCCACAAAAGTTTTTTTTATTTTATTTTATTTTATTTTTTTATTGACACAAGCCGATTCCCATCAAGGCAGGGTAGCCCGACAAAGAAAAACTTTCATCATCAATCACTCCATCACTGTCTTGTCAGAGGGGTGCTTTACACTAGTTATAAAACTGCAACATTAACACCCCTCCTTCAGAGTGCAGACACTGTACTTCCCATCTCCAGGACTCACGTCCGGCCTGCCGGTTTCCCTGAATCCCTTCATAAATGTTACATTGCTCACACTCCAACAGCACGTCAAATATTAAAAGTCATTTGTCTCCATTCACGCCTATCAAATACACTCACGCATGCTTGCTGGAAGTCCAAGCCCCTCACACACAAAACCTCCTTTACCCCCCTCCCTCCAACCTTTCCTAGGCCGACCCCTACCCTGCCTTCCCTCTACTATAGGTTTATACACTCGAAGTCATTCTGTTTTGTTCCATTCTCTCTACGTGTCTGAACCACCTCAGTAACCTCTCCTCTGCCCTCTGGATAATAGTTTTTGTAATCCCACACCACCTAATTTCCAAACTACGAATTCTCTGCATTAGTATATTCACACCACACATTGCCCTCAGACATGACGTCTCCACTGCCTCCAGCCTTCTCCTCGTTGCAACATTCATCACCCATGCTTCACACCCATATAAGAGTTTTTGGTATAACTATACTCGCATACATTCCCCTCTGCTTCCACGGACAAAGTTCTTTGTCTCCACAGACTCCTAAGTGCACCGCTCACCCTTTTCCCCTCATCAATTCTATGATTCACCTCGTCTTTCATAGACCCATCCGCTGACACTTCCACTCCCAAATATCTGAATACATTCACCTCCTCCATACTCTCTCCCTCCAATCTGATATCCAATCTTTCATCACCTAATCTTTTTGTTATCCTCATAACCTTACTCTTTCCTGTATTCACTTTTAATTTTCTTTTGCACACCCTACCAAATTCATCTACCAATCTCTGCAACTTCTCTTCAGAATCTCCCAAAAGCACAGTGTCATCAGCAAAGAGCAACTGTGATAACTCCCACTTTGTTTGATTCTTTATCTTTTAACTCGACACCTCTTGCCAAGACCCTTGCATTCACTTCTCTTACAACCCCATCTATAAATATATTGAACAACCATGGTGACATCACACATCCTTGTCTAAGGCCTACTTTTACAGGGAAATAATCTCCCTCTCTCCTACATACATTAACCTGAGCCTCACTATCCTCATAAAAATTCTTCACTGCTTTCAGTAACCTACCTCCTATACCATACACCTGCAACATCCGCCACATTGCCCCCCCTATCCACCCTGTCGCATGCCTTTTCCAAATCCATAAATGACACAAAAACCTCTTTACCCTTATCTAAATACTGTTCACCTATGTTTCACTGTAAACACTTGGTCTACACACCCCCTACCTTTCCCAAAGCCTCCTTGTTCATCTGCTATCCTACTCTGTCTTACTCTTAATTCTTTCAATAATATCTCTACTATACGCTTTACTAGGTATACTCAACAGATTTGTTTCCCTATAATTTTTGCACTCTGTTTTATCCCCTTTGCCTTTATACAAAGGAACTATGCATGCTCTGCCAATCCCTAGGTACCTTACCCTCTTCCATACGTTTATTAAATAATAGCACCAACCACTCCAAAACTATATCCCCACCTACTTTTAACATTTCTATCTTTATCCCATCAATCCCAGCTGCCTTACCCTCTTTCATTCTGCCCACTGCCTCACAGACTTCCCCTACACTCACAACTGGCTCTTCCTCACTCCTACAAGATGTTATTCCTCCTTGCCCTATACACGAAATCACAGCTTCCCTATCTTCATCAACATTTAACCCTTTGACTGTTTTGGTCGTATATATACGTCTTACGCACCACTGTTTCTGACGTATTTATATGCGTAAATTCTAGCAGCTTCAAATCAAGCGGAAGAAACCAATCCTGCAGCATGCAGTGTGTAATGAGAAAAAAAAAAACTGACCATTTTTTTTGGATTAAAACGCTGACTTTGAGGTGTATTTTCATATAGTATTTATCGTTGTATTCTCGTTTTCATGGTCTCGCGTGATAAAATGTTAAACATATTACAAAAATATCGATGATTTTGATTACTTTCACGATGAAAACGGCCTTAAAATTGAACTCAAAGTAACGGAAATGTTCAATTTTTACCAATGTTCAGGAGTAAGTAAATCACACCACATGTCCAATACACTTCAACTGGGGAGTCTAATATTCTTTCACTAGTGCATTGATATTATTTATACCATTTTTACAATAATGCAGCAGTCTGCATAACAGGAAATTTTGTATTTTTTTGTATGAATAAAAAATCAAAATAGAAAGCAATAGTAATATAAGAGGGGCCTAGAGACATAACATAACTAATGAACAGAGGATATGTTATTTTAGTGCCAAGAATGTCTACATTGTTTATTCTGGACCCTATTTTGAAATTGGCATATTTTTTAATTTGCATGAAATTGGCCAAATTGCCAATTTCTGATCACTTTATTGGGTAGTTCAAATCGGTAAATGAGCGGTTTCTTGTACTCAACAGATAGAAAAAATGGAGTTCTAAAGAAATAGCTATGAGTTTGGTCAACTGGAACAACGGAATTGGCCAAAAACAGGGCTCAAAGTCGGTGAAATTGCCGATGTGTGTATGTTGCCGAGACCACTAACTTTGCGGGAGTGAGTTTTCGACCAAATTTCGTACTTTTGGTGTCATTACCACCGGGAAAAGATTCTCTTTCATTTCATAAGAAAAATAATTTTTTTTTTTCCAAAAATTTATTCATAAGAAAAAATATTTTTTTTTTTTTTTTTTTTCTTCCAAAAATTTATTGACATAGAATGACAGTTTCAGAAAAGGGCGTGCAACAGTCAAAGGGTTAACAAAAGTTACCTGAAAAAATAAAATATTATAAAAGAAGAGAAAAAGTAGAACAAAAATAAAAATATTGCCTAGTGAGCGGCAGTTACCGATGTTGCTGTAAGCAGTTTACTTTGTCAACTTCATGTTTCTATATCTCGGTAAGTACTGACTGCAATTTTTTTTTTTTCTTTTTAAACGATCAGAAAAAATATTCTTAAGATCTTGGTAATTTTTTTTTTTTTTTTCAACAGAGCAGGTTTGTGATCAGAGGTCTCGACAGTGAGAAGGTTAAATTGTCTACATACTAAAAAAAAAAATTCTGATGAAGACTGATTTTGTATTTCAGAGGGTCCAGACCCCAGATCTGAAACTTCTCCATGGGGTTCAAGAATTTTCCAAAGAATTTTTTTTTTTATATAAAATTATAGAGCATCTTTTTTCGAAGGGAATGACACCGAAAGTATGAAATTTGATGGCAATTTCACTCGCTTTGAGTCTTAGTTTAAGTCAATTCTGTTATTAGTATTACATTTAACTATATATCAACTACCCAATAAGTGATCAGAAATCAGTTTGGCCAATTTCACAAAATTTAAAAATTGCCAGTTTTAAACAGGGTCCAGAATAAACACTGTAGACATTCCTGGCACTAAAACCTAGGTCAGGGAACTGGGGTAAATTACCCCAAATGGGGTAAATATGAAAATCTTGGGGGTAATGAAGGCTCATTAACCTCTTAACTGTCCAAATGTAGATCTACATTCTTACCGCTAGAGCTCCAAACGTAGATCTATGTTTTATTTTTCCTGCCTCCAAATTTGGCACGATTGGCGTGAGATACTATGACATTTGATGAGCATTACATGCTCATCAAATGTCATAGCAATGTCAGCAGTGGAGTGACACTAGTGTTACACCATGCTTCAAGGAAACCTATGATTACGTTTTATTATTATTATTATTATTTATTTTTTATTATCACACTGGCCGATTCCCACCAAGGCAGGGTGGCCCAAAAAAGAAAAACTTTCACCATCATTCACTTCATCACCGTCTTGCCAGAAGGGTGCTTTACACTACAGTTTTTAAACTGCAATATTAACACCCCTCCTTCAGAGTGCAGGCACTGTACTTCCCATCTCCAGGACTCAAGTCCGGCCTGCCGGTTTCCCTGAACCCCTTC